AGTCTCGTCGTCTGCTTCGTCCGTTCGGTCTGTCCTTCCGTCCGTTCGTCTGCCTTCCGTCCGTCCGTTCGTCGTGTCCTTCCGTCCTTCCGTTCGTCTTCCTTCCGTCCGTCCGTTCGTCTGTCCTCGTCCGTCGTTTCGCCTGTCCCTTCCGCCGTCCGTTGTCTGTCCTTCCGCCGTCCGTCCTTCGTCTTCCTTCCGTCCGTCCGTCCGTTCGTGTGTCCTTCCGTCCTCCGTCCGTTCGTCTGTCCTTCCGTCCGTCGCGTCCGTTCGTCTGTCCTTCCGCCTCCCGTCCGTTCGTCTGTCCTTCCGTCCTCCGTTCCGCTTCGTCTTCTTCCTTCCGTCCGTTCGTCTGTCCTTCCGTCGTCCGCTTCGTCTGTCCTTCCTCGCTGCGTCTGCTCTCCGCCCTTCCGTCCGTGCGTCTGCTCGTCTGCCATTCCGTCCGTGCGTCTGCTCGTTGCATTTCATTCGCCGTGCGCCGCTTCGTCTCTTCCGTCCGTGCGTCTGCTCGTCTGCATCCGTCCCGTGCTCTGCTCGTCTGCACATGCCCGTCCGTGCGTCGCTCGTCTGCCATCCGGTCGTGCGTCTGCTCGTCTGCCCATCCGTCTGTGCGATGCTCGTCTGCCATTTCCGTCTGTGGCGCATTGCTCGTCGCCATTCCGTTCCGTGCGTCCGCTCGTCTTTGCCATTCCGTCGTGCGTCCGCTCGTCTGCCATTCCGTTCGCCGTCCGCTCGTCTGCATTCCGCCGTGCGTCCGCTCGTCTGCCATTCCGTCCAGTGCATCCGCTCGTCTGCCATTCCGTCCGTGCGTCACGCTCGTCTCCATTCCGTCCTTTGCGTCCGCTCGTCTGCCATTCCGTCGCGTGCGTCCGCTCGTCGCCCCATTGTCCGTTGCGTCCGCTCGTCTGCCCCATTCCGTCCGGCGTCCGCTCGTCTCCATTCCTTCCGTCTGCTCCCTCGTCTGCCATCGTCCGTGCGTCCGCTCGTCTTCCATTCCGTCCGTGCGTCCGCTCGTCTTGCCATTCCGTCCGTGCTTCCGCTCGATCTGCCATCCGTCCGGCGTCCGCTCGCTGCCATTCGTCCGTGCGTCGGCCTCGTCTTGCCATTCCGTCCGTGCGTCGGCTCGTCTGCCATTCCGTCCCGTGCGTCTGCTTCAGTCTTGCCATTTCCGTTCCGTGTGCGTCTGCTTCGTCTGCATTCCGTCCGTGCGTCTGCCTCGTCTGCCATTTCCCGTTTCTGGTCTGCTTCGTCTGCCATTCCGTCCGTGCACGTCGCTGGCTGCCATTCCGTCCGTCCGTCCGTCTATTCCGACAGTCAGCCGTCCGTCCGTCCGTCTATCCGACAGTCAGTTCCGTCTCCGTCCTCTACCGACAGTCAGCCGTCCGCCGGTATCGACAGTCAGTCCGTCCCTTCCGTCTATCCGACAGTCAGTCCGTCCGTCCGTCTATCCGACAGGTTCAGTCCGTCGTCCGTTACTACGGACAGTCAGTTCCGTCCTCCTTCTATCCGACATCAGTCCCGTCCTCCGTCTATCCGACAGTCAGTCCGTCCGTCCGTCCGTCATCCGACAGCAGTCCGTCCGCCGTTCCGTCATTCCGACAGTCATCAGTCCGTCCGTCCGTCTATCGAACAGTCAGCCGTCCATCCGTCCGTCTATCGGACAGTCAGGTCCTCCGTCCGTCTATCGAAGTCAGTCCGTCCGTCCGTCTATCGACATCATCCGTCCTTCTCTATCCGACAGTCAGTCCGTCGTCCGTCTATCCGACAGTCGCCGTCCGTCCGTCTATCCGACAGTCAGTCCGTCCGTCCGTCTATCCACAGTCAGTTCCTCCGTCCGTCTATCGAACAGTCCAGTCCGTCGTCCAGTCTATCGACAGTCATCCGTCCGTCCGTCTATCGACATCAGCCGTCCCGTCGTCTATACGACATCAGTCCGTCTCCGTCCGTCTATCCGAGCAGTCAGTCCGTCCGTCCGTCTATCCGGACAGTCAGTCCGTCCGGTCCTCTATCGACATCAGTCCGTCCGTCCGTCCTATCCGACAGCTCAGTCCGTCCGCCGTCTATCGACAGTCAGTGTTCCGTCCGTCCGCCCGTCCGATCTATCGACCAGTCAGTCCGTCCGTCCGTTATATCCGACAGTCAGTCAGTCCGTCCCGTTCGTCTATCGACAGTCAGTCAGTCCTCCCTCCGTCTATCGACAGTCAGTCAGTCCGTCCGTCCGTCTATCCGACAGTCAGATCATTCCGTCCGTCCGTCTATCCGACAGTCAGTCAGTCCGTCCGTCCGCTATCCGACAGTCATGTCAGTCCGTCCGTCCGGTCTATCCGACAGTCCAGTCACCGTCCGTCCCGTCTATCCGACAGTCAGTCCTCCGTCCGTCTATCCGACAGTCCGTCCGTCCGTCTATCCGACCAGTCCAGTCCGTCCGTCCGTCCGTTCTATCCCGACAGTCCGTCCTTCCTCTTTCCGACCAGTCCGTCGTCCGTCCGTCCGTATATCCGACAGTCAGTCCGTCCGTCCGTCTATCGACAGTTCAGTCCGTCCGTCCTCTATCCGACAGTCATCCGTCCGTCCGGTCGATCGACAGTCAGTCCTCCGTCGTCTATCCGACAGTCCAGTCCGTCCGTCCTCTATCCACAGTCATGTCCGTCCGTCCGCTATCGACAGTCAGTCCGTCCGTCCCGTCTATCACATCAGTCCGTCCGTCGTCTATCCACAGTCAAGTCCGCCGTCCGTCATCCGTACAGTCAGTCCGTCCTTCCTCATCCGACAGTCAAGTCCGTTCCGTCCGTCTATCCGACACTCAGTCCGTCCGTTCCGTCTATCCGACAGTCAGTCCGTCCGCTCCGTCCGTCTATCGGACATCATCCGTCCGTGCGTCCGTCTATCCGACATCAGTCCGTCGTCCTCCGTCTATCCGACAGTCAGTCCGTCCGTCCGTCCGTCTACCGGACAGCAGTCCTCCGTCCGTCTATCCGACATCATCCGTCCGTTCCGTCTATCCGACAGTCAGGTCCGTCCGTCCTCCGTCTATCCGACTGTCCGTCCGTCCGTCTATCCGACTGTCCGTCCGTCCGTCTATCCGACTGTCCGACAGTACGTCTATCCGACTGTCCGACAGTACGTCCGTCCGTCTATCCGACAGTGAACACGAGTGCATAAACCATGCGTAGATTTGTTTTTCAAATTGATGAAACTCCTGACCATGTACCTCTGGAACCTTTTTCAAATTTTTCTCATAAATGACTACCATACGATGGTGAAAATTGTAAAGTCCTTGAAATATAAAATTATCACTTTCATTGGATATTAAAATTTTGTTATTTTTAAAGCAATTTTTAATTTTGCCGTATGCACGAGAAAAGTCTTAAATGTTGCCTTAAAAATCGGCCATCTTCTAGATTTAGATTTTTCTGATTAGTGCGCCATGTTTCAAAAAATGAAAACACATATTTTCGTTCCATTATTTTCATGCACATCGAGTTATGTAATTAGAATATTTTATTCTAGCAGTAATATTTAAAATATGAAAAGGGAAATGTCAATGTAGTAGTTTACGAAACAAAGGCGCGGAACACATGATTCATGAACGAGTCTAGTGTGGGTATCTCCTCGCATCCGTGTTTCGCAAACGTGATGCGTTTCGCTTCGTGATGTTTTGCACACTGAAAAAATTGTTTCGTAAATTGAAAACAAGCACGAGAAACCGCTTTTCGCGCACGGTATTGTAAATACGTGCTTAGCTCCTTATCAACCATCTAAACCACGCGTGAGGTGCGTGTCCACAGCAGCGGCCGTTAAAATACTCTAGAATCCATTGAAATATTTTAGCGGAGTCTGGGGTATAGATTTTACCAATCTTTGGATAAATGTTTTTCATTGTCCTCCATGTGTATTCCATCACTTTTGACCCCCTTTTCCCATTACCCCACTTCACCCCCGTTTCTGCTTGCCCAATTGGCTCGTTTCATCCCCTTGTCTTATTTTTTCCCACGTCCGCTTGGCCAATTTTGTCCCATTTGTCTATTTGTTCCGGTTGCCCGATTTTGTTCCTTTCTCCCACTTTATCCTTTTGTCCTATGAATCCCCTTGTTCAATTTGCCTCTTTTCCTATTAGATCCCAGAGTCCCTTTTGTCCCAATTCCTCCCTTGTCCCATTTTTTTCCCGTTTGTCCCTTTGACCTCATTGTCTAATTTGTCTTCCCTTTCCCCCTATTTTGTCCCTTTCCTTCCCCTTTTCTAATTTTTTACATTTTCTAAAAAACGCAACTTTGTGTTAAATTGAGTTCTAAATTCCTCATTTTCAGAAACACTAAAACACCATTTTTTCAAAAACGGCTCAAAATTTTATCTTCAAACTTTTCCAACAGATAATGCTAATTGCTCAGTTTAATATAACTTAGTTTTTTTTAATTACCCAAATATATTTTTTTTTATATCACTAATGCCGTTAATAGGCACACTACAAGTGATTTGTAAACACTTTTGCATTTGTGACTGGAAGTGCTTGAAATGATTGCATATGAAGTTATTTGAAAACTTTATAGTTATGTGTGAAAAGAGCTTGAAATTTCACATTCACAGTAAGGTTTAAACACCATTTTCTTAAAATCAGCTGTGAATTTTTCAATGTAAAGTGCCACAAGAACACTTCTTTAATAATCATAAAGTTATAACTTGATTTTACTATAAAAATTGAAAACATTTTCAAAAAATGTCCTTTTTGCAGCGATAGATGTCAGCAGCCAAGAGTATGTGGCAAGTCTGAATAGCTAGCTGAGACCAAAACAGAAATAGAAAACTAATAGTTGAAAGTTTTTGCCATTCTGTAGCATCACAAGTTTCTATCTCGTAACATAGCTCTCCTCTTTTTTATATATTTAATAAAGAATGTAGTTGGATAATTATTTTCAAGTAGTATGTTTTGCATTATTGTTAAATTATGTTCATGATGAACGATATGGGCTGGTTTTATGGCCCTGTCTTCTAAGCCGTAAAGAGTACCTATTTTTTGTTGTATAGGCTGTTTTGAGATGTAATTTAAAATGCAGTTAGAAGCACTACTTTTCGTACCAGTTTTCCTGTGTTTTCATCTTCCCTTTTTCGTGTTTTTTGTTAATGTCATGGTAGTAAGTGGACTTACTAATTTCTTTCTGTAGAGAACTGCATAGAGTTGTTTTACGAATTATACGTATTAAGAAAATTCAAAAGTCTCATTTTTTGGGACGCAGATTAATGTCATCTACATACGTTTTACAATATTCAAATTTACTGAAGGGAAGATCGTCTCTTCCAGCCTAGGAATAGCAATTTCAGAAAATTTTGAATGTAATAGCCCGCAGGCTGTATAAGTAGTAATGTTTTAAAAATATTGACATCGTGAATTTCTCTCCGCATTTTGTTTTTAATGTGTGTGTTGTTGTTTTTAAAGTCGTTCTATAATTGTTATTAATTTAGATATACTTGACTATTCACAGAAATGTACGTGAGGTAGCGATACACCATATTGCAAAACGTAGAAGTTGTAGCAAAAATATATAAATGGAATCGAAATATATAATATGTTTTCGAGTGATGTGTTTCTGATTTAATTTATCTCATGATTGTCTCTAATTAAAAACAAAAAAAAAATGAATTGTTAGACATTTTGAATTAGTATTATTTTTATTATCCAATTCTCAAGGTAAGTTAAGTTGTGATGAATTTTAAATTCATATATTGTGTTTATGTGATGGCCAATTTTTTTCTAAACAGATAATAGAAGAATATTTATTTTCCATTGTAATAATAATTATTGTTGTCTATGTGAAAACATTTAATTGCTTGTTTCTGTGAATTTAGAAAACTCAATTTGTTGATGGGAAATCTTTCACCTTAGATAAATAGTCCCCTTCATCGGATATGTAACCAAAAAATGGTCGAGATCACCATAAAAATTTGTTATCATGTATTAAACATTGTTGAACACATTCAGAATTGGACAATACTGCAAGGTGTCTGACAAAAGAGGATTTTCATTGAGGTTAGGCATCCATTACCTGCAATGAACCCATGGCCCTTCCCCTTATGAGGACACCTTCACTGACAGATCGCAGTCTGCTCTCCTCTTGCAGCTCCTTCCGGGACAGTACGTGTGCTGACCACGATGCAGCGCTGCTGGGCGATGGCAGTCTGCATGCGGATGACAGTGGTGCCGTCGACTTAAATGGTATTGATCAGATATTTGAAGGTATCAGCTGCTTCTTTTCTCCTTGCTCGTTGCCTGCTGCCTGCCTGGCCTGCATGAGCCGCTGCCCCGTGCCGCCGTGCTGCGTGTAGGCTTGGTGCTGGTGGAGCGTGCATCAAATTGTGAGACAGGCTATAGGTGGACAAGGAACGGGTGTAGATGGATTATTGAAGGAGTAGATTAATTAGTTAGCAATTGCACAGGTGCTATCTGCTGAGAAAATATATAGAATGAAAATTTATTCTGCAGTATTCGAAATATGGATACGATAATGTCACACAACACTCTTATCACCTTCTCAAAATGAGCAAAATATGTAATAGTGATGGGTTTCTTGCTTTTGAGTCAAAATCAAATGATCTGAATCAAAAATTGAAATGAGAAGATTTTAAAAAGAGGTAAGGTAAAGAATATACACACGTCTATGCAATTAGAAAAATTATAATTCTCGTTTTGCCCTTTCGCCACAGTAAACTAACATTTAAGTTATATAAAAAAGACATTTTACAATGAATTCAACTTAAAAATAAAAGTGTGTTCTGGATTTGTATTTACATTGCAGATACAGTTTTAAATCATGTCAGGTTCCATGTCTTATTCTATTAGATGAACACTTATCAAAATTTCAAATACCATGCACATAAAGACTTAATGAAAATGAAAGTTGAAATTCTAGAATACATGTTATTTAAACCACTGTGTGATATCCGTACTTCAAATTTTATGAAAGAACAGATAAAAATAATTAATGCTAATTTTCTGAAAAATGAAGTTACTTCTAATGAAATAGTTCAAGAAATTGTAATAAATAAATGAAGAATGTTTAATGCTTTTGTATTTTGTAAGAAAACTGCATCAGTACAAGCATTTTCTAACATTTTCAAATACAAGAGTAATATTCAAGCGTGTTATTTTAATCTTCAAATTTAAATTATAAAAATATTATAATAGAGAGAGAAAAAAAAAAGTTGTTTTTCTGATAGGAAATGTTAAACGAAAATATCTTCTTTTGGAATAATTATTGCTATGAATGAGGGGGATGGTTTGGAGAATTTGAACATTTGAATTATTTTTAATTGTAAATAGTATTGACAGTTAATATACAATTTCAATTTATAAATTTACAGAAATTACTGTAGGTTCTCTTGAAGAGTGCTTAATAAGTTTTGCCAGCATGCATAATTATTGCACTTGAGCTTTTGATGTCACACACCTTATCTCAAAGTTTAATTAAGTTGCTTGTTGTGTTTTGAATTACTGTTGTAATTAGTAGAAAGAAGTAGAAATCTATTATTGATTTTAATACCAAATTATTAGAGTCTTCAATACAAACAAATCAATGAAAATGGCTTGTGAAGTAATCTTCAAACTATTTTTGGCATGGTAGATTTTAAAGTAGTTAGAAACTGATCGAATTTGTTCATCAAAATAGAATTTCAGAAGTTGCCTCAGCTGCACTGATTAAATAACTTTCTTCTCTGTTTCATATTTGAGAGCATAATACAAAATGTTAGTAACTTTCCATTAAATAAACAGAGATGTGTGAAGTCCTTTGTATCAAATTTTGTGTTAGAAATTCGCATGTGGAAACAAAAATTTGCTTCCCATTCTTTTTGTGGAACAATGTACTGATTAAATAATTAACTCCATTTTTAATTAAACCAGTCGTAACTTGTAATTAGTTGATCAAATTGACCATTTTTTAAAACCGTCTGTATGAAATTGAAAAGAGAATTAAAATTAGTAATACATCTAACTCGCAGCCCATGTCTATAAACACCACCTCTTGTTTTGGGAATTTGGCAACGCCTGAAATACCTTAGCCTCCCTTTCACTTAAGCGACCCACAGCCGAGTGACCTCAGATTTCGGTGTGAGAGAATGTGGCCAATTTTAGTTGAAAGAAAAGAAAGCACTTATTCTGCCCTTGTCATTCTTCATCGTACTGCACCACTGCACTGAAGAGAGTTAACGCCTATCTCTTGATAATTGGTGGTCACTTTGAGCAATTACGCGTCAGTCAGTTTTTTGTCATTTTAAGGAAATTAATTATTTTAAATATTAATTTATGCTGATTTATATGTTATTGGTACTTTTAATAAATCTATTAAGGCTTATTTGCATAATAATGAGATTCAATAATAATATATTATTATTGTTATAAATAATGAGCTTAGCGGTAATATTTCGCGAGATATCTTGCTGATTTATCTCTGAGCCGACTTTCATTAAATAATAATTGTTTCGTTGATGTTAATAAATTGATACACAGTCATAACTTCTCTCCACATCTTCAGTATTACAGATTTGCTTCTTAAGCATCACGTAAAGATAAGTTTTGTTTCTTGTGTCTGCTCACTCCTCCCCACCCCACCTCACCCACCCACTTTGTGCAGCGTGGAAGGCTTCCGGCGTGTGAGACGTGTACATGTTCGCCTAAGCTCTTGAATGGGAAAAACACTGTAACTTTTCACAGGAAGGTTTCTGCAGCTTATGACCTGACGGGCGCCTCCTCCGCCTTCTCGACGTGCGAGGCAGGGTTGCCCTGAAAGGTGGCAAAAACCCGCGTTTGCCAGATTGCCAAAATAAGAACAAGTGCTCTCAGACATGGGTTGCGAGTTAAGGTAAAGACCCTTTGTATATAAACAAATTCATATATAAATGTAAAATAAACACAATCGTTTTTCATAGTTTTTGTTGGATGTTCAAATGTTTTCAAAGATTGTAACTTCCAGCGGAAATTGAATTAAATGCGCGACTACCACTTTAAAATGTTTTTTTTCTTTTTCTTAATTTAAGGAGCGTCACTGAGCTGATACGTCCAGCACAAGAGCATATTTTAGTGCATATCATTAATCATTGCAATGTTGAAGTAAAATTACAGATGTCTAGGTTCGCGTGATTCAGTGCACGTGGATGTTCACCCCCCGTAGAAATAGTCATTTGAAGGTAGGAATGGCGTGGTGTATGACCCTCTCAATATTCGAGACCGCATACAAGTGGATCGTACGTGCGCACAAAAGTAATTCCGGTAATGGGAGAAGTACCTAAATACAGTGTCTTTGCTATTAGTGTCTTGACCCCCATAACCTTCTTGACGCACTATCTTCTTCCCATTATTTAGGCGTAGGAGCGGAAAGTCAATTTATTTCAAATGCATGGAGGTAGTTGAAGTAAAATCACCGAAAACTTCACCGAAAACTAATATTATGAAGTCGCCGTTGCTTAGTATCATTCATTAGGCAGTGGCAGGCATGGGCTACGAGAGAAGATGCGGTAGTAGGGGTTGCCAGTCGAAACGTTGGAGGAATTTGTGTTGTTTTTGCGTTTTGCTGTAATTTTTGTGAATATCGCGATGATTTGTTTTGTTTGTGAAACGATTAGTTAGTCTTGTATAGTTGAAATATCTCCGCTAGATCCATTACTTTGATGTACTACGTTGTTAACGAATCATGTTGGGCATCGGAACAAGGCTTCTGCATTTTGCGAGATTAGAACTCGCAGAAAATTTCCCATCGTTAGAAAAGAATCATATCGTTATGTTATAAGGAGATTGCATTTTCAACAGAGGTTCGCAGACGAGCTTAGACTATTACACTGAAGATCCAAAAAAAATGGTAGAGCCATCCGTATTGAAATAGAGAGATCTGGAACCAATCAGAATATGGCACTCCGGTCAGCAACGATTAAATAAGATAACCAGTCTGGCACAGTTATTAGATCGGTTAATGCTGCTACAATTGCAGATTATCATGATTTAAGCAAGTTTGAACGTGGTGTAAGTCAGCGTAAGGGAGATGGGGCAAAGCATCTCCGAAATCGCGATGAATTTTAGATTTGCCCCTACGACCATTTTACTAGTGTGCCGTGAATATCGGGAATGCGGTAAAACAACAAACCTCCGGCATCGCTGTGGCCGCATAAAGATCGTGCGAGAACGGGACCGACGATGACTGAGGAGATTCCTTACACGCGACAGAAGAGCAACCCTTCCGCAAATTGCTGCAGATTTCAATGCTGGGCCGTCAACAATTGTCAGCGTGGGAACCATTCAACGAGACATTATCGATATGGGGTTTCGGAGCCGCAGGCTCACTCGTGTACTCTTGATGACTGCACGACACAAAGCGTTTCGCATCGCCTGGGCCCGTCAACACCAACATTAGACTGTTTATGACTAGAAACACGTTGCCTGGTCTGACGAGTCTCGTTTCACTGTGTTTCAAGCGGATGGACGTGTACGAGTATGGTGACAAACACATGAATACATGGCCTCTGCATGTCAACGGGATATTGTTCTAGCTGGCGGAGGCTCTGTGATGGTATGGGGCGTGTGGAGCTGGAGTGATATGGGAACCCCTGATAGTCTAGATAAGACTCTGACAGGTGATGCGTACGTAAGGATCGCGCCTGATCACCTGCACCCATGTCTTTTGGGCACCCCGACGAACTTGAGTAAGCCCCAGGAACACTCTTCTTAATTTAAACACTTCCTTTGGCCACCAAAATCCCGACATGAACATTATTAAGCATCTGGGATGTCTTGCAACGTGCTACTCAGTAAAGAGATCTCCACTCTCTCGTACTCTTACGAATTTATGAAAAGCCCTGCAGGGTTCACGGTGTCAATTACCTCCAGCACTACGTCTGACAGGTCGTCGAGTCATGCCACGCCGTGTTGCGGCACTTCTGCGAGCTGGCATGGGCCTTACACAATATTAGGAAGGTGTACCAGTTTTTTTGGTTTTTTAGTGTATTTTCTGCCTCGGAAAGCGTGAGTGTTATTGGCAGCAGACACATTTTAAATTGAGTATAGATGTTATTGTCGAACTCGGGGCCTTCTTGAGAAAATGCAACCCGGAGGTTGCTTGAGAAATGAGTTATGTAATTTTTGGGTATTTTAAAACAAATTTTTGCGAGGTATAATGTAATTATTATTAATCGTATTCAAAGTATGCATTTTATCGATAACTTCAGAGGAGAATAAGGTGGTGGAACTCTTCGGAAATTATTTTCAAGAAAAGTAAGTGTGCATGTAATATGTAAGTAGGGTGATCAGTTTAAAATGCAACCCAAAGCAGGGCGCACTGGCAACTATGTTTGATCCGGTTGGATATCGGCTGGGGTTTGCAAGCAGGTTTACTGTCGGTAAGTACCTAAACTTAATACCCCTTTCCCGTTATGTCACCTAGAGGAGGAGAGCCAATGACCGTCGTGGCCACGAAATCAAAGAGAAAAGAATGCACCTACTTATTTGGTGACGAAAGAAAATTGTATTGACAAGAACAACAATTCCTTTGTTAATTTTTTGAAAATGAGTGAAATAAGCTTGACACGTAAAAAACATTCAGATAGTTTTAATAATAAATTTGCTTGTTTTAGTTTCATAATAAATATGCCCCAGAAATATATACATGATTTATTCTCGCTGTTGTAAAAAAATATTAATAAATTATAAATTCAAAATTCGCAGATCGAATGTTTGTTATTATATTATTATTATTGACCTGTTACTCTTCATCTTGCCGTTTTCTTAAATTCTAGTTCGGTCTTCTGGCGCCTAATTTTCTTCTCCAGTCTTTCCTGTTCTTCCAAGAATCAGGGGGTAATTTCCACTTCTCGATTATCTTTCGGAAATGTTACATAAAAATAAAAATAGTATTGAAAGAGCGGGCTCAGTAGCCAATGAATAATAATCGCTGGTTAAATTGTCAGTGAAAGATAGTCACTGGTTGTTACATAAAAGCCTGAGAGAAAAGGGTTGGAAAGTTCTCCGCAAATAGAAGAAGAAAGCTAGTTTAGTAGCTAGTAATCGGGAAAGAAAAAAATTAAATTTATTAAGAAAAATAGTTGTCGGAAACAAATGAACCTCAAAAGTTCAAAATGTCTTCCGTTTGCTGAGAAATAAGCATGTACTCGCTTGAGAACAGTTGCTGCTTCCGATGTGAAGTTCAATCATGCGAATCGCTTCCTCGGTGTTTCTTTGCCCCTCTTCGTGATTAGGAGGCTTACTCCCATGAACTCACTTTTGAGACATCCTCAAAGATAAAAGACTGGCGATGCCAAACCTCAAAAATTCATTCAGAAATTGCATTGTCGACTTAGCAGTACACTTTGTGATGTCGAGTATATTCTGACACCTACCCGCCGTTACTGTTTCTTTGAAAACCAACGGACCGATTATTCTGCGTCGATAAATGACACAACATACTCTTAATTTATTTTAATGCAAAGGTCTCTACTGATTCCTGTGGTCTGTCTGTACCACAGTCTACTGTTTTGTTAGTTAATATATCCAGAAGAAACCAAGTCTTCTCCCTAAAAAAACACATTCTCAAGTGCCTCAAGAACTTAGCTAACAAATCGTAGCTAATTACAGTAAGTCATTCGAGCAGCCCGATCAGGGCCCTTAAACTTTTGAGATGTTCCTGTTTGAATGCACGCGTTTTCATTTTTTACACTTCCATACGAAAGATTATTCATTAATGATTTTCACGGGAAATGAAAGAACATTCCGAATGTCCTCTAGTTTTCGCAGCGAGAGCACTGTATTTTGGCATTGCATTTCCGGTCATCCCTGTCTCGCGGTAGCACGTAACTAACCGAAATATGGTACTCTTGTTCGGAATCGGCTCAATGATTTTTTTCTTTGAAAGGTGCCTGGCACTCTTTGGAGGATTACGTTCGGAAATACACCTCCACCAATAATCTGCGTTGCTCTGTGCTGTGGCACATCGTAAGTTGACGTCAAAACTGCGGATGAAGACGCAGCCGGTTTTGCTTTGAGCAGGTATGATGCAGACTACAGGAAAGAATGGGGTGGGGGTGAAGGGACTGATGCAGAAATGAGCTTTCCCAAAAGCAGTGTTGCAATGCATTCGCGGTTCTCTCAGGACCTCGATCAGCAGAATGGCGTTTTAAACTGATCACCCGGTATAAGTATTGAACATGAAAGCCGTTATTCTCTGAATAGTATCTCGTGTAGCATGCTTATGAAAATTGTTTAAAGAAACAATTTGTACTACAAAACAAATTTGCATAATTTTTTGTTTAAACTAGGAAAACATTTAATTATATTAATTTCTAATAATTATTGAGCTAATTTACTTGCGGTCTGTTAAAGCGATTCTTGTCGTAGGTCCGAAGACTGTTCTGATACGATTCTTCTGTAGCCTCGTTATTTTCCGCAGCCCATCGTGTGAGTATGTAATATTGCTGCGCCTTCCTTGTATCGCCTGGCAACCCCACACTAAGGACAAGGACAAGGACTGTTGGCGCGGGCGGGTAGGCGGGGTGTGAGTAACGCGCGGGCGGCGGGCGGTGGCTGCGTTTGCGCAGGCATCACGCGCGACCTGCAGTCGCTGGCGGCCAGCAACCGGGGCGACAGCGAGAGCGACCTGCACGACCAGACGCCCGACACGGACGACTCGGGCGCGCACTCGTACCCCGAGGCGCTGCCCAGCGCTTTCGGTGCGCCCGCGGGAGGCGGCGGTAGTGGGGGCGCGGCGTCGTCCTTCAAGCGTGCGCCCGTTATGGGTGGCCGCGGCCTGGAGCAGCGCGGCAAGAAGGCGCGCGGCGCAGGGCCTGCGGCCGCTGCCACCAAGGACGCGGCCACGGCGGGGCCCGGCGCGCAGAAGGTACGTGCTGAACCCGGGCTTCCGTCACTCTGCAGTATACACCTTTCGAACCCCTCTCCCCCTCTTCGTTCTCTATCTATGGCTCTTTGAAACAATCATCCAGGTAAACTGGTACCCGAGGCAAGAACTCTATTTGCGCCCCAATATATATATATATATATATATATATATATATATATATATATATATATATATATATATATATATATATATATTTCAAAGCAGGATTGTGCTAACCTTTTAATACAGGCGTATGCAAAAGATTTTTTTCAAATAATTACAGTTCTGCAAGTACAATGAATGAAATGACGAAGTTACCAAAGAAATATTTCCGTGATTCGATATTTCTCGATGGCAATTTGTTGACTCTTGGCGTTTGATGCGTTCTAAAAGTGACTATAATAAAAACTAGCATAGTATCTTGAACGAGTTCGGTACTACGACATTAATAATTAGTAGTTCTTCAGAATGGCACAGACTTCATCGTATTAGTTTTCTATTTTCTTTGGTCTAAGCTAGCTATTCGAACTCGCCACGTGCTCTTGCTTACTGTCATCTATCGCTGCCCAAAGTACTTTTTTTTTTAATTTTCTCAATTGTTCGCTTTATTGAATACATTATTGCATTTGTGAGTGGCAGTGCTTTAAATGACGTATAATGAAGTTTTTCGAAAACTCAAAAATATTGTGTGAAAGTGTCGCAAATTCCGCATTTACAGTAACGCTTAAATGTTATTTTCTTAACTACCCCTCAAAATTTTCCATCAAAAATTGCCATTCTGGATTGTTACTTTCGTAATAGTAGAAACAAAATATTACTTTAAGGGTATTAAAGAAGAGTAAAACTTCGTCCGAAAAAGCGTTTCTATGTGATAATGATTCTTTTTTAAATTACGACAAAATTTGAAAGTGTAATATAATAATGAATTTATTTATATCAAGAAGAAAAACACAACTTTTTTAGTATTTTCTTTCACTCTTTTTGCTTCTTTTTGTAAACATCCTCCGTTTGTTGGCATTGTTTTGTACTGGGTCTTGATCAAAATAATTTTTAAATAACTTATATATATATATAAAATTTGTATCAAGTTGCATACTGGAAATTGGAGCTGTTGGATGCTGGTGTTTTGCCCAATTGTACTTTTCGGACACGTTGAACGATTGTCCTTTGTCTTGGAATGGATATATCTTAATTTTTACGTTGGTATTGGCTTGTGGGATGCACAAATGGAAATTTCGAATTTCAGTAATAGGTACTGCATATTTAAATGTGAATACAACTTTTTTCTGTGGGCTGCAATCGGGTCTTAGTCGCCGAATTCAATGTCTATACCTGTAATATTTTGTCGAGACTACTCACATAACTGTACAGGAGTTTGGAGTTGTTTATCAGAAGATAACTGCAAACTTGCACGTGCAGCCAGTCGTTAAATGTGTCTCCGATTCTCATTGCTAGGGCCTTTGCCATAAGATGTAGCAAAAAAGTTCCATTGAGCTGGAAACGCCAAAATCTTGTACGTGTAGACTCAAATTCATGACATTGTGTCTATATTTATATTTGAGTATCTATATTTATTATTTTTTTTTATATTCCATCAGACATAACTTTTTTAAGTTCAGGGATTTTCGTTTTCATGTAACTGATCAACAACTTTAGAAAATACTTCACTGCTGAGGTGTGCTGTAAGTCATCTGAAATGATCACGTAGTAGGAAATTTGGGAGTTTTGGCCTCCTTTGTAGCAGTAGAACGAATGTATTCTATTCAACTAGAAAAATAATGAGTTAATCTAAAACATAACATAAAAATTAAAACAGTCAAGTCTACACACATTTTGAACGCAGTCTGTAGATTTATAGTTTATTCGAATGTGGGTTAGGAATTCGCAAGGATTTTATTTCCTTTTAAAATGACCAGGAACGTTGTACTTTAACATTTTTCAAATGATTCATTGATCGTCCACAAACTTGTTTTCACTGGATTCGAATGGCGAATACGGGAAAGCGTGTGCTATTTGTAGCACCACTAGTATAGTTTCAAAAATATAAACTTGCAGTGACAATGCAAGCAACAGTATATTGGCTCCAAAAACAAAAGAGTAATATTGCATTATGTTACTTTGAGATATATTATCGAATAAAATCGTGGGCAGGGGATCAAACAACGAATGTTAAGCGTTCCAAAAAAATCGAAAAGTCGCCGTTAGATACCTACTCGCCATCGCACGCGTGATTAAGCAACCCGTAACGTCGCAGAAAAATACAGTGGAAATAAATGCCTCGAAATCAGGCACAAGGAAATAATTCATGTGTAATGTACAAAATGGGAATTACTGCTATTGTAGCAACAGCGTCGTTGGTGTGTGAGTGTATGGCTTCGCGCAGGTGGTGCAGGTGGCGGCGCTGGAGGTGAAGAACGTGACTCGTGCCATCAACCGCTACGGCACGCTGCCCAAGGGCGCGCGCATCGGCGCCTACCTAGAGTCGCTGCGCCAGAGCGGGCTAACGGCGGGCGACGGCGACGGCGCAGTGGGCGACGAGCGCTGCTGTGACGAGCTGGCGGCAGCGGCGGCTGCGGCGGCGGGCGACGCGGCGGGAGGCGTGCTCCCCTTGCGCGCCGCTTCCCCCCGCACCAACATCCGCACGCAGCGCAGAATGATCCGTAGCAAATCGTCAGGTAGCGCGGTGGGGCCGGCCCTCACCAGCCGCACGCAACCACATCACCAACCAAGCACACACCACGCGGCACACCGGTCGTGCGCCGACGGGCAAGCTCGCCCCGGCGCTCGGCCTTCTCCTGGCGCCGGCGCTTCCCGCGTTGCGCACCTTCCCGCGCGGCCGGCCCTCCGGCAACGTCGAGCGGCCGTGGGCCCCGCTTTATCCGGGGCGGCAGCCCTCGCGCGCCGCGCAGCCCTCGCTGGCGGACCTGGACTTCCCACGCCCCCCGCCGACTCCCACCACCACCCGAGGAATTCGACAATTTGCGAGGGCCCTCCCGCCACGCCGGAGCCACCCCTTTCCTCTCGGGCGCCGCGTCCCCCAGCCCCGAACGAAAGACGCCGTGCGCCCCGGGGGCGGGCGGCGTCCCCCCCGGGCGTTGGGGGCCCCGGCCGCCGGCTTAAGTCACAGCGCTAGCCTTGATCCGCCCTGCGGGCGCCGGCCTTGGCTGCCCGCGCCCTCCGACGCATCGCGCGGACCGACCGACACGCCCCGCCCCGCGCCCGCCACCGGCGACGGAGACGGTGACGCTGGCGCTAGCGCCCGCAGGCGGGCGACCGTGCGCAACACGGAACCGTCTGTGGAGGAGGCGTCGCGCGCTTCGGCGGTGTCCCTGCGCCGTCGCGAGCCTCTCACGGACTCGTGGCAGCAGCGCGGCGCTCCGGGCGGCGGAGACGCGACCGGCGCGGGCGGCCGCCGCAACTCCAAGGGTCGCCCTTCCGACCCGCCCACCCAGCCCCCCGCGTTTCCAGCCGTTCGCTTTCCTTCGCCCGCGACGCCCGCACGCCGGCGTTCTCCCGCCAGCGAACGGCGTTCCTTGCGCTGGCGTCGCCGCCGGTGCTCCCTCCGCCGCCGCCGCCCCCGCCTGAGGCCACCGCAAAGCGTATCGCCGCCTACCGTGGGGCGCGAGCTGCGTGGGTGTCCAGTTTTGGGTGAGGCCGACGCGCGGGTCATGCGCGCTACAAGAACGAAACAGTCGGCGGGCGACGGCGGTGAGCGCCGGTCGGCGGGCGCCGCCGCCTGCAAAGTCTTTAAAAACGTGCACCCGGGCATGAAGGAAATGCTGGAGCTGAAACTAGTAGCCGAGATCAAGGAACGCGCAGACCTCAAGTTCGGTCGCAACAAGGAGTCCCCGTCGCAGACCGAAGGCAATGAAGGTGCGGCATCGTCTGGCGTTGCCCCTCTCGACCCCGCGTCACAACTGGTCTGCGAATTGGCGGAAGGCCTGCAGCAGGAACCCGCAGCACCCGAGCCCTCGCCTGCAGGGCCTGCTCCGGCTCCCGTGGTCGGCCCAGCGCGCGGACCCGCTTCGCCCGTCGACTACAAGGTGGGGCTCCGCAAATTCAGCCGCGGGTCGGATGGTGGTGGTGTGGGAACGAGCGCTCCCAACAAGAGCGAACCTGCGCTCACGGGCTTCAAAGCGCAGCTGAAGAAATTTGAACCGGGGACCAAGCGATCCGAACCTGAGGAACCTCCGTCGGGAACCATCATAGACTTCAAGGCGCGGCTACGGAAGGTGGACGCGGGTGCGACGACAGCGCGACGCTCCGCCGACGGCGCCGACGAGGCCTCTGCGGATGCGGACTCGGGGGCGACACTGACGCCAGCAGACGCACTGTGCGGCGACGACGACGCGCGCAAGCGTGACAGCACCGTGAGCGCGCACAGCGTCGACGGGTCGGCAGCGAAGGCGTCCGCGGGCGGCGGGACCGCGAACCCCAGCGGTAACAGCGGTGGAGCGGAGGAAAGCGAAGACAAGCGTCGCAGCACCGGTAGCATCAGCAGCCTCAAGAAGCTGTGGGAGAGTAAGGAGTCGACTGTGGGGGCGGGTGACGGGACGGTGGCGGGAGCGGCGGGCCAGCTTAGTCCCAAGCTTGCTCCCAAAGCCGGCGCGGCGGCCACAGCGGCGTCGAAACCAGAGGTCCCTGCACGTCGCGACGCCCCTGCAACAACGGTGCCCGCGGCGGCGGACGAGGACGCGTCGCCCGAGGAGAAGCCCGCACCCGCCCAGCAGCGCCGAGTGTGGCCGCCGCCGGCGCCGGCCGACGAGAAGCCGGCTGTGCCTGTGAAGCCCGCCGTCAAGACATTGAAGCCCGTCCTTGTGAAAGCGGGCGGGCCGGCCATCTACGCCACACCGCAACAGCAACAGCAGGGATCGGGAGGTGGCCCGGTGGCGGCGGCGGCGGCGGCGGCTTCCGCCTGCTCCGTGGGGTCGGGTGCGTCCAAGGGAACTCGCGAAGGCGGTGGCGAGGAAGGCGGAGAAGAGAAAAGCGAGCGCGATAGCGTGCTGGAGATCTCGGCGGCTCTGGAGACGTCGCTGTCGTCGCTGCGGGGTGCGTCCGCCGTGTCACCCGGCAGCTGGCTGCAGCTGTCGGACAAGGTGGGGCTGTTCCACACATCGTGCGTGGGGTACGCGGACCGCGTGCCGCCGCACGCGCGCTTCCACTTCCGCGAGCTGCTCACCCGCCTGGAGACACAGGCTCGCCAACTGCGCTGCGCCGGCGCGCGCAACTCTGCGGACAACTCACGCCTGTTCAGCGAGGTGCAGAACACGGTGCGCGATGTTATCAACGTTGTGCAAAGATAAGTGTTGTTGTAGCTCGAACGCTAAGGGGAACGTCTGTAGAGGGACAAGTGGATTTCTAGTGCGAGTGGTGTGAGTGGATGAGTTTCTGGAATGCTGAATGTACAAGTTCCAGAGATTTTACCTCGAGTTTTGCGTGTGTGAAATATTTTTGTGGACTGTGAATGATGGTTTTGAATTGTGATGGATGAAGTGTCGTATGCTATCTGACAGGAGGAGAGAGTGGACTGAGGAAAGGAATATTCTAAAGAGAAATTGAATGATGGCGTGAAAGATACTGAGTATCTATTATCTAGACATTACATGCTGTGAAAATGACATCTACTGGGTTGATGTTTTAATGTTGCCCAGATAGATTCACTATCTCCTATATATTTTAAAAAATTGTAGGGTGTCAGGATGTACTTTAGTTAAGTGATTTCCTATAAGCATCTGTATCCCAATTCCCTTATCCTGCCCAATCCCTTCTTACCTGTGATAACTTGTAAAATATTAAGTTGCTTGGCCAAAGGTCTTGCATGCTGATGGATGTGCAGTACAGTATTTGTGGATGTGTTTTTATCATTTTGCCTGGCAAGGAGGAGTATCTAGTAAAAAGACGCTGCAAGGCATATGTTAGGGACCACTCAGTGTAATGCAAAAAATCTTACGTTTGGTGTCCTGGTGAATGGAATTTTTTTTATAGCTTGAAAAAGTGGTGATTTGTGCTTCTTTTATTCTAGAAGGTAGTTAGCAAATCATTGTGAAGCAGTTGAGGGGCAAGTACTGGGAAAATACTCTGATGTGAAGTTGTTTACCATTGTCTACAAGGTGCAGATACTGCCTGCTTGAGGACAGCTTCAGGAAAGGAGCATTGTTCATGCTAGTCTTTGTATTTTATAACTAATATATAGAAGTCCATGAGATTAGACATATTTAGAATGAAATATTTTGTAAAATCCAAAGATTTGAGGAAGTGACCCATTTATTGTGAAATGTCTATTAATCCATCTTGCCTAATTCATTGACAGAAGGATTGAGTTACTGTAAATAAATATGATTTGACAATGTTTTCTCATTCTGTGCAAACAACGAAAATGTTAGGAAAAGCCTAATATTTTGTTAAAAATTACCAAATATTGTTGTACCATCCCTCCCAACTGTAAGTGTAACAGGCATTACAAATACTTGTATTTGTGTGATGTAACTTTGCTGTTTCACCCAGCAGTTACTTATTCGTGTTCACTGTGCGCATTTCATTTGTGTTATATTTGGATTTGTTTTACTATTGGATGCCTCCTAAGATTCTTAACATTCACTGTGGTACTAAATTATATTGAATCAATTTGTACATTTAATGGGGTTTGTTCCTATTTATGCAAAGATGGTTTCTATCATTTATTGATATATGGGTTTGCTACTCAATAGCTCATTGTTTTTAAGAGACTGCTATATAAATATATAAATATATATATATACACAACTATATATATATACTGAAGACACGTTTGCATATGAAGCAAACTTGTGGAAAACTGTATTCCTGCATTTTAGGCTTTTACAAATGGCGTCTTCAAATCTTGCTTTTGTTTATAAGCATTTCTGCAAAGGCTCTGTATTCTTCTTTCTCTTTTGTACTATATCATGCATGTGTTTTGTACAGGTCAACATGTGTTCGTTCTTAAATGTGTACTGTTTCTGTATGGATGTTTGTACAATTAACTTAAATATAGATGAGATTATAGCTCACATTATAATATTCCTACTTGATTTTGATTTTGTTCTTTCTTTCCCTGATGAATTGATTTTATTGACTGCCCCAATATTATGCCCTTCCGTTTCACCCATAAAAAAATAATGCAATCATAAGTTCATACAGTAAATAGCTGATAATAAAATGCAAAGATGAGTTGTAATGTACTTGCTCATTGACAATGCAAGTACAAATTTCAGTTTTTAAGCAATTATCTAATTATGAATAATAACCAGATGTGTACAGCCTAAAACAAGAAGGGGGCAACTATATTTCTGGGCACCCCCTTCCATTAAACTTTTTGTTTACATATATAAATATTTTCCGGTAAATGAAAATTCAAGGAGAATTGAATTATAATTTTAATTATGTCATTAAGAAATAATTGATTTTCTGGTCAGCCATTCGTAGGGTTGCCAGATGGTTTGGAGAGCTTCTTTTCTAAATGCTATATATCAGTTCCCGAAAATAAGCAATAGGGGAATATCAGAAATTTATCATATTATTTTGGAAATGGTGATTTATTACATAGGTCTATGAAACCCCTTTCAAAATTTCCTTCTCACTCTCCCCAGCATATGAATAATATATTCCATTCTGTTTTTGCTGTCTCAAATTTATTTGTTCACTCTATAGCTCTGTGAAATGGCACCAAATTTGCTACTTAAATATGATTAGTTGGCAAACTTCCCTGATGATATAAGGCTTAAGGTAAATATTTGATATTGCTAATTACGTTATTTACTTCTGTAATGTGTATCCGTCATGCCCATTATAATCTGTACATAATTACAAGTTCAACATTTCTGAAAGTAGAATTACATTGTCATCCCCAATGCACTTGATGCTAAAATGACACTTGCATTGTTCAAGGAATTAAATTGTTTCATGTACATGACTTGAACAGAGAGAAGGAGGGAGGCTATGGGGATGTGATACCCATGAAAATTTTAAAAGGTAGCCTGTAGTCTTAAGTAATAAAACATTTTATTTCTGAAAATATTTCCAATCTTTGATTTCCTTCTTTTTAATCTTACAATTTGGGGAAGTGTTCTACATTTAGGAAAAGAAGCTCTTCTAGGATCTATATCTTATTTAATTCTCCTTGTTCGTTGAATAGTAAAATGTAGCATTTATTTAAATAAAGTTAAATGGAAATGGGTGCCCAGAAATGAAGTCCCCCTCCCCTCTCCCTTGGTTTTTCGCTGTGGACACCTAAGATTAGAAAACATGCACGGTTTTAAATGTATTAAATAAAATAAAAGAATAGACATTTATCGATAAATCGCACTCGTTTCGTTACGGTAATACAGCAACCATGTTACAGATTTTGGCTTCCTTAACTCAACCACGTTTTACTTTCTCGTATAATACGTATTTAGTATTGTAGAAACACGTTGTAACTACTCCGTGAGAGGAAACACGTTGGGCGTCATTAGTAAATTGAAACCAAAAACTGATTTGCTGGACGCCAGGCCGCGGGAATTAGGCAGAGGCCGAATTATGATGGATCTTGTTCGTACAACAATGCAATGGTAACTTATGGTAGTTGGGTCAGGGCGGCTTCGGGTTGGATGGTTTTCCATCCACTGATTAGAAAGTAATTCCTGGCAGCCAAGTGGCTATCAGGGCGTTTATTTAAAAAAATGAAATTTACACACAAATGATGTTCAATTATTTGACATTAAATTACAATTTTTCTAGAGAATGTTATGTTTCACTTTGAAAGGTCAGTATTTACACAGGTGAAAATTGTTTTATAGATTTACGCAGTAATCACTGCACGGTTTTGATAGGATTGAATAGTTTGTTCTACCTGGTTTTAGGTCGCAGAAGTATTTTATGGTTAGCGTCACAATAGCCGAGCTAAGGTTGTCGTACATGAAGGCTTCCACGGCTCGAGTCCATTACTTCTAGGCTGTCCGGGTGACGCCGCGTCGTTGGCAGATAGGCCGACGTTTCGCCTGTCATGTCGCAGGCTTCTTCAGGGTAGTGCGACATGACAGGCGAAACGTCGGCCTATCTGCCAACGACGCGGCGTCACCCGGACAGCCTAGAAGTAAGGTTGTCGATGACTGGAGATGGCTGCTAACAAGATAAGTGCGGCAAACCTATACCTTCGTCTCTATTGGGCCCTAATGTAGTCCGCTTAGCTTAATACGGCGCCTTTCGCGGGATCGGAATATTGTTTTAAATGTTCGTAGTTTACCGAATGGCACTCAACTGGTTTTACCCGGTCATTGCCTGCAGATTGACTCAGTTCCACTCTCCCCAACGATCGGCACAAATGGCGTTCTTGTTGTTCGCTGTACGTTGTAATTTTTAAAATGATCGGCCGAAAGGTCAGTACAATCCGACTAGAAATAAACTGATATTCCAAAAGAATGTTTTACGAAACGCCGCGTCACACATGGAAGACTACGTGGCATGCTCAGCATCTGATCTGGTCTGAAATCGTGTCTGTAATCGGTGCTCTGCTGCATATGCAAAAGAAAGGTTCACCACCTTCCTTTTCTCTTCGTAGAGACACGAAACACTGTTTATTTCTCTATGCCTCCTCTACTGTCGTGATATTAGTTTGGAGCTCTCATTTGTAGGTTTGTCTTTCCGCGACATCTTATACTCAGTTCTTCCTCTCATGGGATGTAGTACACACAGAGTGCATCTTCCATGCGCTGCGTTGTGGAATTTTCCTAAATCGAGTACCATTTGCACTTTCTTTCGGTAAAGGAATTTTCCACAGTTTAGACGCAGTATGACGATGGTGGTCTGTGGCCGAAGATTTCCATTTTCCGAGGGCGGTCCTGCGGCGCACCCTCGACTGAACCTAATGTGCTGGCGACGAGCGCACGCTCCATAACCCAGAGCGCTAAATGACAAATCTAGGCGGAAAAAGACCCTATCCTTAGTGCTGTAATATCAATATTTTATATTAGTAAATTTGATCGTCCATATTGGAGAAATGAGATTTGAGAGTGGGTTTATTTTTTCGGCTGAGATTGCTACCTTGGAAGAGTGCACAATCGTCAATGAAAGTCGAATGGCCATATTGTAAGTAGATGGAGACAATGCCGACCATTTCATAAAAAATGTTGTTCTAAAATGATTGAAACTTGTGTACACAGTGAGACGCCAATTGCATCCATTCCAACATGATATAGTGACAACTCCCACTATAGCATTAACAATTAAAAAGACATTTTAAATCCCACCTGTCTCCTAACCCATTTACCGCACAATAAGTTTTGCTATTTATGGTGCAGGGCCGGAT